GCATAGCAAGAAACCACGAGAATCTGCAATAAGAAATGGAGAAGGAGGAGGAGGTAGACTAAAAGAAGAAAGAAGAGGAGAAGGAAAAGGATAAAGGAAGATGAGAAGTCTTACAGAGGAACAAAACTCTGTCTTAAGGTATAACCTTAGTACATAAAAATAAAAAATACATCTCATCAACACTTTTTGTTATTAAGTATTACAGAGGAGCTTGTGTATGAGGGAAGGGAAAGATGGAGAGGGTGAAGGGAAGAATGTAAAGGGGAAGGGGAGGTAGTTACGAGGCGCTCTCTAACCACCTCATTAACCAAGCACCTCTTCTTCCACCTGCCCATTACACCTGTGACACCAAGGAAGTTCAGGCGTTACTCCTCGCCTTAAGGACATCAAACACCTGGCTAGAACTATCCACTCAACACATTATAAGGAATAGTTTTAAATTCTGGAAATGATAATTAATAACAGGTAAAATAAGAGCATTTTTTATCACTGACAATCATCATATTTTGTTGTTTTTTATTCAAAGTAATTTCCACTTTCACTCGACTTTTTTTTCTTTGACGCTCGTTTTAGACGATATATTTCGACGATCTATCTCTTAGACACTCTCCTTTCACAAACAATATAGTTAGAAACAATATTGTTAGAAACAATATAGTTAGAAACATCATCCACCGACAAAAGCTTTAACTTAAATGTTATCCTATAACAATCATCATTTTTTGACAATCACTGCATTCTCGCTTCCCCTCCTCCCCCCCCCCTCCAAAAAAAAAAAAAAATCAAAATATTTTCTGACAAGCATCTATACAGCTGAAGGAAATAAAAATTAGGGTAACTGTAATATTTTCACGAGGAAGAAAAATACTGCTTATACATATTTCAAACCAAGAGACTGTTTTACCCTATCAGCGGGTCGTTTCGAACATTCAGAACACAGTAACCTCCTGGACCTGACCTGACAGCTGTCAACACAGCTGTCAGACACACCCACACCTCTCCTACGGCCCTCACCCTCACCTATACATTCCAATGTTTCCTTTACACTCTACAGATTGAAAAATCTTGATCTCCAAGCGAAACGTTGGCAGAAAAAAGTGTTCCAACTGCTCACGTGTCTTTGTTCAATACTGAATGGGAATTCCCGATTCTGAGTTGGATAACCGGAGTGAACGGCATTTTAACCTTCTGCAGAATTAACACCTTAGAATTTTTGGGGTTTTGTCAGCATTTTAACATATTTAGCTAAGAATACGATGGGATATACACTTAGAACAGAGCAAGGCTTTACAGAGATAATGTTTCGCTCAAGGAGAGCTTCATTAAGACAAAGTTAGCTGAAGGATAGCTCTTTTAAATCAATGTTTCGCCCGAAAATACCTATATTAAGACAGATTTGCTCAATCAGACCTTCATTGAGATAACTTATCACTCAAGTTGAGTTATATCAAAGCAACGTTTTGTCCAAGGATTAGCTCTTGCTTTGCTCAAAGTCTCTTTGAATCAGCCGTCCTCCAACAAGTAAATCCCATTTATGCATTTTATATATATATATATATATATATATATATAATATATATATATATATATATATATATATATATATATATATATATGTATATATATGCATATATGCATATATATATATGTATGTATATATATATATATATATATATATATATATATATATATATATATATATATATATATATATATATATATATATATATATATATATATATAATATATATATATATATATATATGTTACCCAGGTGACATAATCAATGATGTACAGAGGCTTATATTAGGAGACATCAGTGATTTTACTGTAATTTTTCACAGATTTAATTCTGGTGCACATTTACTCGGTCACATCATGCTGAATACTTCTCAGTGACATCTTTTGCAGACACAAGCACAGACATCTCTATGTGATACCACTGTGACACCCTTCTATACTGATATCATTCTATGCCACTAGGCTATGACAGTTTTTTTAAGATGTATTCCTGGACATAAATATATGATTTCCTGTCTAATGGACAACATTCTTGTAGAAAATACTGTATATTTTCCAAAAATACAGTGCATTTTGTATGTAAATTGATGGCATATATTATAGGTAATAAAAATTAATTTGTAAATAAATAAAGAACCAGCGATGGGTGAGCGTCGCTGGGGAAGAGACGCCATTGTTTTGAATGTGGTAAAGGCACGTTAGCGAAATGTGCATGAATTTTTGTCGCTCTAGGGGTTATATTGGGCTTAAAACCTCTCAAATAGGAGCCGATATTGTTGGAATTGCAGTCCTGCATAACGTGAGCATTAAGCTGATGGACAGGACAGCTTCGGAACCCCAGCTAAGTTATGTCTATTTTGTGTTGAAATTCTGGCCAGTATTTTCGTCATAAATTTAGGCAGGGTTTTTTAATATGACACACCGTAATCTCCAGACTAATTGGTGAGTCTTATTATTATAAAGTCTCCTTCAATGTATATGTATTCACATTTTAAATTTAATATACAGTCCACATATTTATATTAATGTTTTTTTCCAGAATCCCTGGTGATGTATATTTCATTTGAAATTAATATAGGTCCAGAGTGACTTGTGGAGAGATAGATTATAGTAGGTATCGTAGGGGGACATTTTTTGCGACCTAGATGTCCTAAAATTCCTACTTGTGTCTGTAACCTTGTTAAAGAATAATTATCTTTGTTACCATTTACTGGTATGTACCTTATGAGTTACATCCAGGTAAATTTAATTTTCCACAATTCCATTATTTTTATTAAAAATATTGTTTTCATTATTATTATTATACTAACATGAGACCTATAAATAATTCTCCAGTGAAGAATCTTATCAGCGTGCTGCTAAAATTTCAGTGACTGAATCTTTAACTTTTAATTTGGATATGTGGATGACATTCTGTATAGGCTACTTCATACATTTAAATCTCTAGGATTCCTGTTGGTACAGTTTTTTTTCTTTCCAATCTCTCTTCTGATATCGTTCCTACGTTTCCCAGATCTCAGTTATTTTTCTTAGAGGCTTTCTTTCCGTTGCACATCATTTGTATCGTAACCATAACCAGGACAGATAATTTACAGTGTTATCATTACCAGGGCTCATCATTTACAGTGTTATCATTACCAGGGCTCATCATTTACAGTGTTATCATTACCAGGACTTATCATTTACAGTGTTATTATTACCAGGACTCATGGTTTACAGTGTTATCATTACCAGGGCTCATCGTTTACGGTGTTATCATTACCAGGACTTATCATTTACAGTATTATCATTACCAGGTCTCATCGTTTACAGGGCGTATCATTTTGTGTTATCATTGCCATGGCAGATAATTTACAGTGATATCATTACCAGGGCGCAAAAATTACAGTGATATTACCAGGGCAGATAATTTACAGTGATATCATTACCAGGGCACATCATTTACAGTGATATAATTACCAGGGCACATCATTTACAGTGATATCATTACCAGGGCACATCATTTACAGTGACATCATTACCAGGGCACATCATTTACAGTGATATCATTACCAGGGCACATCACTTTTTTAATTTTTCCTCTCAGGGCACATCATTCTCAGTAAGATCATTCTTAGTTACGCCATTCATAAACTGAATCATTATGTGACATCTTTACGAGCTAACTAAACAATGTGAAAAGCTTGTGTCCTTACATCTCATTATACACAAAGAATCGTGATTGTCGTACACAAGTGTTTGGCAACCAGAAAACACACAAATATTGGTTATCAACAAACATCTAAGCTATGACTTTAGGAGATTTAGGAAAAAAAAGATCTTAAATTTTTTTTCTAAATCTACAAGGCAGAAAGAATAGTTTCAGCGTCTGGTCTGTAGAGTGAAAATAAAATATTTTCTAATATACGTAAGGAGTTTTTTGTAAGAAATTCTGCGAAGAAATATTTATCTAAACAGATATCTACTTCTAACGGCAAGAGTCAAAACAAACTTGTTTTCCGTCCCCACTTGAAAAAATGGCAAAACAGCAATGTATCTGCAATGAGCATATTTGCTCAATCCATATGGCAAGTTGCAATAGACATGCATTTGGGCAATTTTTTTCTTGTTGGGAGCCCGGTTCTTCAAAAAAATATCACTATATACCATAGCTAAGCAATATCCTGAAAATGCATTGAATCGACACTGTAGAAAAGAAGGCAATGTTAGTAGGTCACTATGTGAGAAAACACGTTACTTTCCTCTCTCTCTAAACACAGAGAATGAAAACAGACACCATCCTAGTGATCTCTACACATACACACACACAGCACACGTGTTGAAAGGTAAACAATGAGAGACGTTACCGAAGTCTCCTTGCTCGAGGTCCAAGTTCTTGTAGACTGGGGCTCAGCGCGTCTCTCGATACGCTGTGTACAATCAAAGGTTTCGTATCTCTAGGGTTTTTTATCCAGGAGGAAATCAGGTCCTGATTGATGGGCTTCCCAAAGTGTGTTTGTAAGTCACAGGCATCGCCTCACGTTTCTTCGGGAGGCAAGCAGGTCCTGTGATTGACGGGCTACACCGAATGTGTGTTTGCGAGACAGTTGTATGATAGGATCCGTGTTTCTTGGTGTGTAGTGAGGGCGAATCCGTAGCTTCTGCGACTCACCAAGATCTGGCGACTCACCAAAGCAATGACGACTTTCCAAAGATTCTGCGACTCCCCAAAGCCCTGGTGATTTTCCAAAGCCATGGAAACATACCAAAGCTTTCGCGACTCACCAAAGTCCTGGTGACTGACCAAACCCTTAATGGTTTACCAAGACAACCTGAGTCAGAAAGTAAGTAATCGGTACAACTACTTTGCTCACACAAGACCTTGCAATAATATTATATATATATATATATATATATATATATATATATATATATATATATATATATATATATATATATATATATATATATATATATATATATATATATATTAGCCGGGTTATACTTAATTCTTGTTTGATTCATTTCTTTATCATCCGAGAACATAAAGGCTTGAGTTCTATTCTTGTTGACACTGAGCACACTTCGAGGTCTCGGATATTATTTATGAGATTCTCACTGAAGTTCACTTCATCTGCAGTGAACAGCACCTCAATAAATTACATACTCTGAAAGGTGTATATCACTCAGTGTATATAAAAGTTTACCTTTATACTGCACTGTTTTATATATTTTTTTCTGATAGGTGGCGAACATGTGAAATACAGCGTTTGTAATGAATAGTGTTATCAAGAGACTTAAAAACCCTAACAGATAAACGAATATCCTGTAATCTGGATATGTATCGCCCTGTTACAGCTGCTGCAAATATCAGAGAGCAGATGTGGCAGTCTTTGTGATAATTATGTCATCTTCGTATGTGTTTAGTGCTGGTGGTTTATCATGCTGATTCGGCATATTTTTTTTCCAAGTAGGCCTGGTATGTGCACCTGTTTCATTAGTATACATAAATGGAAGAATCCTCGGTTGGAGCCTCCAAGCTGCTCCAGTTAAGGTAATCAATTGTTTTATCTTATAAATTGTAGCGTAATAGATGTATTTAAACCTCTTGTGACCTTCAAGAAGTGTCATCTTAGGTGATTAAGAATACCAAGATAACCGAGATGGCCTCCCTCCCTTCCTTCCCCACACTTGCCCCTAGCATTCTCGCCCAGGGCACGCTTGTCCCTAGCACTGTCGCCCAAGGCACCCTTGCCCCTAGCACTCTTTGCCCAGGGATTAGCCGAACTAGACGCGGCTGAGACCTCCGTAGGCCTGACCTAAGTGAGCAATGGAATGAGAGATGACGCAGTGGGGGGCAGAAGTGATCGTACGTTCCTTACAACCTAGCGTACACTTTCCCCGGAGTCTGAGTCGACCCTGACGACGCTACTAACAGGAAGGAGCCTGTACCAGCCAGCTAGGACCGGCTCGCCGTGTTCCAGCTTACTGAGGCTGATCTCCGCTACTCCTATGCCGATATTGTGCTCGAAGCCTCTCTGGCGCTCCCACACCATCGCCAAGAGGGTGCGCCCGAGCGCATCGTGGGCGGCGTAGCGCAGCGTCTGGTGGTACTCGGGCGCTCGCGAGTGTCGCGTCACCCGCGTCTTGCGCTTCTGAAGGCGGCGATCACCGTCTTTCAAGTAGGTCTTCACGTATGTGTCTGAGGGAGAGAAAATGAAGGTGAGTAATATATACAATCACCTAAAACTGTACATTATTTTAGTTACCCATTAAAGCTATCCATCTCCGTATAAAAGTATATGAGCATATGTTAAACTGGTATATATATATATATATTTCAATCTTCATCTCCACAAGAATATGACCATTTTCTTTGGTGCATTATTTACGTTTTCTGTGGTTCGTTTTAAGGGTAAACAAATGAAAAATGAGAAAGATTACTGCTGCATTTGTGTATCAGTTTAGGTATTTTTTAGAGTTTAAATGATATAATGGAATCAGAAGCGTACTGCCGCTGGCAATGAAGAACAGACACAGGTCCGGAACAAGCTTTGAATGCGAAGTTTCGCTCTGTGTTGAGCTTTTCCAAGTTGATTTGATTAAGCTCTACACGTGAATAAAACGCAAAATGCCATAACCCTCGTTTTGGGTTATGGCATTTTGCATTCATTGTATTACCCAAGATAATCTGACCTTTGACCTTCTTAGCTCATGAAATGACCTGGTCTTTGATCTGACTCGAGACCCGAACTTTAATCTGACTCCTGTCCTGATCTTTGACTTTCCGGCATCTTAGGGGTGACTTTTGAGTTACGTGGTTCCTGAGGTGACCTTTGCCCTACCTGGCTCCTGACCCGACGCGGCTGTGGGGAGTCCCCGGGCGCAACTGACCTCGACCTCCAGTTGACCCTTGGTCAGTGTAAGCGCCAGCTGGATCTCCCCTAGCGTGAAGTCATCTGTGGAGGATGTGGAGTTAATGGAGGGAATGGAGGAAGGGGATGGAGTGAAAGAAGGAAGGATATGTTGGAGGGACGGAGGGAGGGAGGCAAGGATATATCGGAGGGAAGCAAGGAGGTTATGGCAATAAGTAAATGGTGGAGCAAGGGAAGAAAGGAGGGAATTTTATGGATTAAAGAAGGAAGGAGAAGAGATACAATAAACGGTGCTGATTCTTAGAAACGGCACCAAAGAGTACAGCCAGAACAGGGATAAACAAAAAGTATATATTGCTCAAACATGCTGGGTATACCCAGATAAGTTATGTAGCCTGTAGGAAGCACCATAGAGTGCCCAGCATTGTAATAGACACGAAGAGGAGTAGCAGGTCATACCCAATAAGTCAGAAAATACCCAGAGAGGAAGCAGGACGTGCCCAGTAAAGAAAACATAAAATATCCTAAAGGCAGCAGAAAGTAGCCAGAGAATCAGGGGATTGAATGAGAGGCAGTAGAGAGGGTTCCAAGAGTGTCTGAAAGTGCCCAGAAAGAGGAAACGAAAATAAAGTGTCCAGATAGCCAATGAGAGGTAAATATGTGCCAAGGGTGTCAAAAAAGTGCCCAGATAGTCACTGGAAGGTAAATATGTAACAAGGGTGTAAAAACAGTGCCCAGATAGTCACTGGGAGGTAAATATTTACCAAGAGTGTCAAAAAAGGGTTCCCAATGAGGCAACGGAAGGTCCCCAGAGAATTAGGGAAACATCCCACCAGAGTGTTAGGCAGACGGACACAGATGCAACCTAATGCGATATTTTATTGTGGCAATGTTTCTATCTCCAGGAGCTTTGTCATGCGTTACTGCAATAAAAGCTCACATTAGTTGCATCTGTGTTCCTTTACCTAACATTTTGTGGGTAATTCTCCCATTCCACGGGGATCACCTGCGATGTAGGCGTGTAGAGTATAGTAAGCTTATAGAACATAGCGATAAGTGTCAGTAGCACACAATATGCTGTAATGTACTGGGAAAAAAAACATTTCGACCTCCAGGGGTTGAATCAATTAATAAAGTACCTGGTGGACGAAACGTCGGCTCAATAAAATGCCAAAAACCACATACTGAGGTGAAAATGTTGCTAACACCGCTATTCAGGCCGATGTTTACAACACAGAAAAGACAAAACCCCGCAATATGTTGACTGAGAGAAAAAAACAGCTGAGGTGAGGAGAATTTCAACTGGAAGAAGAAACTCCAGGAACCTGAAAGATAGTGGACGTGAAATGAATTGTATTAATATTGGCAGAAAGATGAAATAAAACTGTTTTTAAAGGGTTTGCTACTAATTTAAGACCATTTAATTATGGCTTAATTAGCAGGCAAACATATCTAAGATTTTTTTGTCCTTTCGAAGTGAGTGGATATTTTAAATAGAATAATATATTTCGAGAAAATAAAGTTTATGGAGACTCGTAGCTCAGTCCGGCTAACAACCGAAGGACGTGGGTTCAACCCTGTGCGAGTAGAGATGAATAAGGAAGGCATCTTACACCCACTGAGCCTATTCACCCATTAGTAAATAGGTACCTGAGTGTTAACTGTTAAACAGGTTAAGTACAAATTCAGATAACGAAAAACAGAGGTCAGGAGTAAAACGTAATGAGTGAAAGGAATGTATTTACATAAGTTGACTTCATTAGGAGTGAATGCATCGGCAGATGAGTTCGTGGAAATGAGGTGAATCATAGAATGAATGAGACAAAGAAAGTAGCTTCAGTGCTGAGGAATCTCAGAAAAGAAAGTGGCTGCAGTGCTGAGGAATCTCAGAAAAGAAAGTGGCTGCAGTGCTGAGGAATCTCAGAAAAGAAAGTGGCTGCAGTGCTGAGGAATCTCAGAAAAAAAACACCTGAAGTGCTGAGGAAACAAGGAAGTTCTTCAATGACTTCAATAAAGGAGAACATATGAGAGAATACAGTAGTTGTGCTGTGAGTTTTACAGCGTCCTTCGGCATGTCTTAAAATATTCTAGCCAGAAGCAGGCTGCAGGAGATAGAAATGTTAAAAGTCTGAGACCGTTAATGTGTGGCGCGAATGTTATACAGAAAATGTGGAAAAAAATAGAAAACGGTATAGTGGCGAGAAAGACAAATATAGTAAGAATAGGATTTAAAATGAATATTTGAGGAAGAGATGTAAGGAGAATGTGAAGAATGTTTTGAGAGGTAAAACAGTTACGAATGTGTGTTTGCTAAAATAAAACGAGAGATGGCAAGTTTTTTTAATATATCTGAAGTATTGTTGGGGCGTGAGTGTATTGCTATCTCTATAGTGCTTCATGTTTTAGCGCTTACTTTTGATTATAATAATAATATAGTGTTTCAGACACCGATTAGTTGAGCTTGACTTCTGGAAGTAGAAAGTACATTGTCTGTACTCTCAAAGGTGTGGATGTTGAGCGTCACTGAGTTATTACATGGCAATGTTTGTTCTTTACTGGAAAGATAACTAGAATGTCAATCATGGTGAGTGTTAGTATTTATGTTCTATTGTGATTCTGGTATTGAAACATTGAATATTATCTTGAACTTTTAAATATTCTGTAATGAATTAAGTTTCAATGAGGAACTAGAATCTAGAGGAAAGAATCCATAATGTTAAGAGTTTGGAAGAAGAGGAACAGTCAAGGCACTTAAAAATTCATTGAAACAATTTCACAACACACGTCATGCCAGTTTGATTCCTTCTTCCATTAACTGATTCAGAAAACAAGAAATCAGACACAAATATATCAGTCAATATATCCCACTGTGATCTAGCATACTATTTCTAAGAAATTCTACCTATATTTGCAAAACAAATATATAAATATATATATACATATCAGAAAGACCACGATTTTGCCCCGTTTCTAAAAACATAAATGACACATAAGTGGCAGACACTACAAAAAAAATGTCCTTAAATAGCATATGTCAAGACAACAGTGCAAGACGAGAGAGCTTGGGAAGGGAAGGGTGAGGAGCCTAGGTAAAACAAATTGCCTAATGTGGGTTGGATGCTTGG